AGAGAGAGAGAGAGAGAGAGAGAGAGAGAGAGAGAGAGAGAGAGAGAGAGAGAGAGAGAGAGAGAGAGAAGAGGGGGCAGCATTTGGTTGTGGGAAGCCTGCGATAAGAAACTCTCTATCTGGAGCTGTGATGGCCTTGGGTAATGATGCGCTCGATTGGCCGAGTGCCAAATGCGCACGTGGCGGGCATGGTATAGGTTTTCACTGACACAGGGAGGAGAGGGGAGGAGCGTCACTGACACGGAGAGTGACGAGGTGGCTCGGGGATTCGCTGTGTTTTCATCTCTTTCGCGTTTTTTCGAGTTCTAGCTATTTAGCGAAAGCCTTCGGAGGAGGCCTTGCAGCAGCGGTAATCCCTCAGAGGCAGGGGGGTATTCGCCGAAAACGGAACGAAAGGAGGGATATATATATATATATATATATACTAGGTAGTACGGAGCGCACTTGCACACTGTGGGAGGGGCAGAAGGCCGCCGCATCTCATCAGCTCTGTGTGCCGATGTCTGACTTCCCTCTCCCTTCTACACGAGGGCTTAAGTCCTCATCGGATCGTAGTCACGCGTGCGATGCCACGTGTCAGGTCGATTTGAACGCCGTCGTTCGAGTCTGGGAAGACGTCGCCGAAAGCCCTAATTGGGGTGGAGAGGGGTCGGTATTTAGCGGTCATGGTGCCTTTGAACTCGATGGGGTGGTCACACCCCTCGCTCTGTGCTACGACGAAGCCTTTGGGCGGCTTGATGCGGGCGAGGGCGGCGGTCTGTGCTGGCGCTGTCTGAGGGTCGCAGAGGCACTGGAGTTGTGTGAGAGAGTGGGGATGACCCCGCCTGAGGGGGAGTACGACGACTTCCTCCTCCAATTCTTTGTTCGCTGGAGGCCTTCCTCTCAGAACTGGGCGCATATCCTCTGGCATGTCAGCGATAAACAACCTAAACCCCTCTTTGGACTTATGGAAGACTGGGCAAACTACCTATTCAACGGGTGGCTCCGGGAAGACTACAACGCCGTCGATCATGCCCATCTAATTATAGAAAGCTGTCGACTTGCCAACGTGGACAGCCAGGAGAAGCTTCTGGAGTTCTGGCAGAAAGTCAGAAACGTGTTTATGGAAGAAGAGGCAGAGGCTGAGGAAGGCGAGCTGCTGGCCGTGGTAACCCATAGATGGGGTGTGGAACGGACGGCCAGATTCATCAGGCAGGAGATAGACAGCATGATTGCGCGCTGCGGTCGGTGTCGATGCTACGAAGATGAAGGACCCGAGGACAGCAGCGCTGCTGTGTGGGCCTCCCTTGCTGATCACAGAGATTGGACCTATCACGACCGGCTGACCTTCTTCAGGATCGTTGGGCATGGGTTTAGAGATTTGTCCTGGTTGAGAGAAGTGGGTAAGCAGTTAAAAATAGATGCAGTCACAGTGGAGCAGATTCTGTGTGAGCAGGCGCCGGAAAGCGCTATATCCTCTCGTGGCGAAGGAGGAGAAGGAGGAGGGGGAGGGG